AACCGATCGGCTCTGAATAGAGAAGACCATGTAAGCGAGGTAGAGACAAAGGGGACAAATTCACGCCTAGGCAAAAGGTAAATGACCGAGCAGCGGTTGGTAAAAACGATAGCAACCTCAGCCACCTCGAGCATAATTAGATCTTGCTCACCTTATGCGTATACAGTTTTAGTATCAGCGTGCCAGAAAAGAACATCAAAAATCTACAAGCATGGTATTCACAATGCTTATGCAGTAACATGTAAGGAGTACCAGCTTCTGAAACATCGTTCTTGATGAGCGCGAGTTGTCTCTGGCGGACAAAGTGATGCGCGATGTATGCGGCACTGCAAGCAGTCAAATATCATGGGGAGGTGGCCCACTAAAATGCCCTCCCCCCAGTTAGCTAAGAGCAAGAGGGCGGCACAATATGCCGTGAAATGTGGAATTGGAGGAGTCATTTGTTAAGTCACGATATTATCTGATTTCTGGCGTAAAATGAAATCCTCCGTCAAAAATTGGAAAATCGACAACGGATGAAAAAACATACGCTTTTCATAAAGAGTGACATTTCCATTTCCGCTCATCCATTATAATACAAGCTGAACGTGAAAGTGATTAAACCTGGCTCTTTTTCTTCATCATCTCCATCTTCCAAGGCCGCTTCTCCTTTCAGGTCGCGGAGGCAAACGCCTCCAACAATGCTTCCAAAGTTCCCGCGAATCTGTGCCAGCATCTCAGCTTCAGCACATGACAACCGGAGCCTAGAACAGACTCTCTTCATATATTTGCACCAGGCTAATCATGATTATCCCTGGGCCTTCTGCCGCTCGGCTGGGCAAGAAACGGTTGCTTCGCCTTCCTTTCTGTTGGCAGTCACAACATGTGCCCAAACCATCGCAACTGTAACTTCTCAATCTGAAGAAGCAGCGGTAGTTGACCAACGCTCTCTCTCTCTCCGATTTCTGTATTCCCGACTATATCGAGACGCGTAAGGACAGTGATTAGTCTCAGAAAACCCATTTCAGCAGCTTGTATCCGAGACAGAAGTTTCAGTCATAGTCCACGACTAATTACCGTAAGTAAGCACTGGAATGAAGATGAACTTGAACACCGAGAGCACAGTCTTCAGACTCAGCTCTGCTTTAGTCACAATAGAACGGGCATATTCACGCAGAACGCTTCTGGCTATTTCAATCGATCGGTCGATCTCTTCCTCAAATTTTCCATCACCAATAAACATGACCCCGAAATACTTGAACTTCTCCATCCACTCCACTGCCTTTCCCCCTCATCTGCAGAGTGCAACGAATGGCAGAACGACAAAGCAATAGGCTTTTCGTTTTGGATGCGTTTACACGCACGCCGGCCACGTGGCACTTCGTTGCAAACCTTTCCAGAGAGCGCTGTAGATCGGTTTCAGAAAGTGACAACAAAACAAGGTCGTGTGCAACAACAGGTTGCCAGCAACCACATCGTCTCCACATCTACGTTGATACTCTCGCCCTAACTACTCCTGGCTATTCTATCCATACACATAACAAACAAGAAAGTGGACAGAACGCACCCTTGGCGGAGACCAGTGCCAACGCTGAAGCACTTCGATTTAATGCGATTTACTCTAATGCAGCACCTGTCATCGATTCCACAGAATATAGTGACTGAATGGCCCATAGCAAT